TTTCTTTCTTTCTTTCTTTCTTTCTTTCTTTCTTTCTTTCTTTCTTTTTTCTTTCTTTCTTTCTTTCTTCTTTCTTTTTCTTTCTTTCTTTCTTTTTCTTTCTTAGTAGGTATCATATTATAGAGGTTATAAGATATGAGTATCATGGAGCCAGTACAGAGCTGTGCAATTTTTTAATCTCATAATACTAGAGTCGTTTTATGAAAATTGATCAGAAGCAAGTTCAGAACAGAAAAAAAGTAAATATGGTGCCACACAATCCACTATTACCAAATTATGTCTTTTAAAAGAGATTATACCATCTACTGAGAATAGATTAATAAATGAATAGTAAAATATTAATCAGTTGGTGCAATTGTTCAGAGGCCATACAGGAAATTAATATAGCAGATATACAACAATGTAGTTATTACTTTTACACATTGCTAGTAAATTACAGGGAAGTATCTTGAAGGTGCCAGGTATGATCCACTAGTGATGTTAAATTATGGTAACAGTCAAATAAATGGCATTTTATTCTTGGAGTTTTTTTAAGTTATTTTTTTTTAAATAAGATTAAAAATGAGAAAGTGAAAAGGGTTAGTAGAATTAAGAAGCATTTCAGTTCTCTTCAAAGGAAGGTTCTCCTGTGCTCATCACTAGTTGCTAGGCATCCAGAAATGACAATGAAAAGGTGAATAGTATGGACGTCTAATGAAGCCTAGCTTTATTTTTTCTCTTCAAATAGCTAAATATTTTAATTCGCACTAAGCCTGCTTTGAAAGGGTAATGGAGGAGCAGTTTACAATCTTAGAAAGCAGTAGAACAATCCAAGGAGGCAGTGGTAGAAATGAATGTTATAGAAAACCAGCAAGTCAAAGTCCTAAACAGAAAACAAATACAACACAGATTTTGATATAACAATTTTTTTTCCTGGGAAGTCATGGAACCTATGAACAGCAATCCAATTACTGTATGTCAGTGAATCCTAAGACTTGCCATAACAGCATATTGTAATGCAGTTCTGAGAATATCAAAGTCCAGCCAAAACAGGAATAATATCCTGGTAAAGATAGTCCTCCAAGCCAATTTTCACTTTAAAAAATTGCCTTTATATCAGCAAACCAAGATAGAAGAAGGAATCCACAGAGCCTTACCTATTGATATGGAGGGCAAATATGAACCAATTTATACATGATATGGCTCTCATCAGGTCTGACAGTCATGTTTGTATGTTTCATAGTTTGTCCTTGTCTCTTTAAAATAGTTCCAACTGAGAAGTTGTATGACTTTCATTATGTATAAAAGTATATATATGCTTTTTGTATTCAGAATTTTTCAGATATGCTACATTGTTGAAAATGTTGATGAGATGCAGGTGTTTCATGGACAGATATATAAAGTTGTTCAACCTTCATTGTCTTCCTGATAAAAATCAGCATGCAGTATTTGCTTCTTCATTCATGCTGAAGGTCCAGCAGTATCTATTAGACATTTGACGGCAAGCATCGCATTTGAGAAATGAAGGAATAGGGAAAATCAATTAATGGTCACTACGCAATCTTCACATACTCTAGTTTTGCCAAACTTTTGAGAACAAACTGCAACATTGACAGGTCTAAGCAGCCAAGGACCATGACAACCTTCCTTCCAAGGTAATCCAAGAGGCTGATCTGGATTATAAACCCAAAACCTGGAAGACCATTCAGTTGCAGCTAATATATCAATCCCTTTGCTTAGGATAAAAAGCAGAGCATCCTTGAAGTCACAATCAGTGTCTAGTGTCGGCTTTGACACTATGAGGCTTTCTTGCAGCAGTACTGAAGTGGATTGCTATTGCTATCTTCTGGGATGATTTTTGGATTTGGGCTTTTTCAACATTAAAATCTAGGTTGTAGCCTTAGTATTTGTGGACACTGTCCCATCAAGGTCCAGGAACCTAGGAGCAAGGTATTTAATTGCTGAAAACATATGGTTTAAAGAGAGATAAGCCAATGAAGATGTGTGAAATCAAAATCAGAATTATAGATACCAGCGCTGTGTATGTGTTCCTTGACAATCCCATCCGTTCAGTCTTACCTACATTTCCCCAAAAGTAAAACCTGTGCAAGAGTCTGTCACTTTAGCCATGCAGATTTCATGAATGCATGATTTTAAGTAACAACTTGCCGCAATATAAGGACATCATAAAATATAACGAATTAGTCATGTAGTACAGATGACCAATCTAGTTTGGAAGTACAGGTAGTTCTCGACTTACAGCCACAATTGAGCCCAACATTTATGTTGCTAAACGAGATATTTGTTAAGTGAGTTTTGCCCCATTTTGCTACTTTTCTTAACACAGTTGTTAAGTGAATCATTGTAGCTGTTAAAGTTAGTCACACAGTTGTTAAGGTGAATCTTACCCATTGACTTTGCTTGTTAGAAAGTTGCAAAAAGTAATCGCATGATCCTAGGACATAACAATCATCATAAATGTGACTCAGTTGCCAAGTGTCTGAATTTTGATCACATGACAGTGGGATGCTGCAACAGTTGTGTGAAAACCAGTCATAAGTCACTGTTTCAGTGATGTAACTTTGAACGATCACTAAATGAACAGTTGTAAGTCGAGAACTATCTGTATATTACAAGTAAGCCTACTGCGTGGTTTATTCAAAAAGCAAATGCCCAAGACTGTTATATTTCAGTTTTAATAGTTTGTTGCAAATTTATTTAACATAAAATTTCCATTATAAAATATTTATTAGTTTTAATATAATGAATGAATTCAATTCTCTTTAAATATAATTTATCCAAGATTCTCTGTAAGTGAAAATGTATTATGTTAATGAAATTTTGTCCATACATAACACTCTTGCCAAAGATTATTCTGAATAAAGGGCTTACCTTTTGTTTATAACTGCTTCTTGTAAATTGAACTGCACTTATTTTAAAGTCATATTAGCCCAAATGTAATCAGCCTTGTCTACCTTTCTTGATGTAGAATCCATGGAAGAAAATATTTGACATCATCCAATAAATGTGTTTTAGCTGTGCTAAGAGCCTTATACCAAGTAAAACAATTTATGTTTATATACTGACCTGTATGCACGAATTTGGATTTAAATATGCAAGCATCCAGTGAATTTCAACTGCCAAAGATACTGGATATTGTGGATGAAAATTCACACTTCTTTTTGTTATTTGATGCAGATGGGAGGTTTGTTTCCTCTTGCAATAGTAAAAAATGTTTTGTGTTAGATGTGATGCCATATACAAGGATTTAAAGCTTAATATGTTCCAGGCTTCAGTAAAGTTCATATATTTTCTAATGTAAATAAACATTTGTCCATACAGATATAGATACACAAATTATAGTTTCTATCCCTGCATTTAGAGCTCCTGTTCAATCTCCCCCGCTACCAAACATACCCACAGACTCACTAATCACAAACTCAGGATAAGTTTATTTTCAACAAAAGCCAAACTTGCAAACCACCAATTATATAATTCTTGGTTTAATTATGAATTCAATTACCCAACTTTTTTGAAGCAATGTATAAAAAAGTACTACTGAGAATTATTTAAAACAAAAATAACCCCCCCCCCCCCCCAAAAAAGGAACAGAGCAGACTACTTGCAAAATAGTAGTGCTTAGAATTTGGAAGAGGAAAGGTTCTTAAGAGCGTACATGCATGTAGCATGCATGTACCACTTATCTGCAAAATCCACTGGTCCAATAAATTTTGAATTGCATTGCAATGGTAGAGGACAACTACACAAGCCAGAGAAAGTCATAGCTGCTTTATGAAGTTACAGATGTGGTTACATAAGCATTCACACTTTTTTCTCCTTCATATCTGAAGCACTGTTGCAGTTCTACTAACGTATGTTTTTGAAGAGGAAAAATGAAAATCAGAACTCATTCTTGATTAGGAATTTTGTCACCAATTCTGTTTGTAAACACAGCTTTATGCAACATTAGAGCAGCTGAGAACATTCAGTATTAAGACAGGAACCAGTTTCATTTCTCTTCATTAGCCAAAACAAAATAAAAAAAACTTTAGAGGAAAGCAAATTACAATTGTAAACAGATTGTGGTTGTAAATGGGCATGAAGAAAATGGAAATCAAGAAAATGGTAAGGTAGGATGTAGTTACTTCTTTTCATAACTACCAATTAATCCTTCTCTGGTTTTTCTATTACTATTAGTCTTCCTAACTAATATATATTCAGGTATAATTTATACTGAACTATTATATCTCAATTAGTTTCACTAGAAATTAGGAAGAATGTACTGTACAAAAAACGTTAGGTTCATTTCATAGGTGATGAACATGAAGTTGACATGGATAACCCGAATTAGTCAGAGGGAGGATCTGAAACTAAAAGGAACATAAAACATTATCTTAAAATGTTGGCATAGTATTGACATTCCTATAAAAATAAGAACTATATACTTAGAAATGTTCATTTTTTGAGATCATTAAAAATAATTGCTTATGACTCTTTTATAGTTTCTTTTGTACTGCATTTTTTGAAAAAGGATTTTGTATATAATGTTGTATCTAGAAAATTATATAATGTTCCTTTTCA